AGACCCTGTACCAAATAAATAAATAAATAAATAAATAAATAAATGATTTTTAAAAATAAGCAAAAAACTTCCATAAACATTTCTGCAAAGAGGAAGTAAAGATGAACATTAAGTGTGTAGAAAGATGTTTATCATCACTAATCATTAGGGAGATACAAATGAAAACCAAAATTAGACAACATTTCCCATGTATGGGAATAGCTGTTATAAATTTAAAAAACAAAATAGAAAAAAAAAACCTGGTAAGGATATGAAAAAACTGGATTCAAAACATGGCTGGTGGGGATGTAAAATGTTGTTTAAAAAAACTTAAAGCAAACTCAAAAAATTAACTAGAACTGCCATTCAAACTCGTAATCCCACTTTTGAGTATATATGCAAATGAACCAAAAGCAGGGAGCTGAGCAGAATTTGTGTATCTATGTTCACGGAACAATTATTTCCAACTGCCACACAGTACAAACAAACCAAATGGATAAATATGTATGTAGAATGCAATATTATTCTGCCTTGAGAAGAAATACAGATACATACTACAACTTAAATGAATCTTATGCTAAGTAAAATAAGCAAGACTCTAAGGAACAAACATTACACGACTCTATTCAGATGATGTACTCAGCAGTCAAATTCATAGACAGAAGGTAAAGTGAGTGACACCATATGCAAATGAAGAAGAGAGTGACTCCTCAGTTTTATGTGCATAGACTCTGAGACAGCACAAAGGTTCTGGAGCTAGTGGCAACAGCTGCAGAACAACGTGAATGTTCTTAATGCTACCAAGCTACACACAAAAATGGTTGTGATGGGAAATTTTATACAAATTTTACCTCAATGAAAATATAAATTTTCAAAACCTAAAAATGCAAAAATGAATTATCTATACTAAGTAACATGTACTTTGGAGCTGAGGGATTTTGTTTACTTAAGTCATGCTTTCTTTTACTATTTTTAGGGAAAACGTCAAATTATCAGCACCAACTCTGCCCCCTGCTGGTCTCCCACTGAAGTATTTTATTTTATTTTATTT